AGGCGGGAAGAAGACCGAGTGGAAGAAGAAGAAGAAGAAGAAGAAGAAGAAGAAGAAGAAGAAGAAGAAGAAGAAGAAGAAGAAGAAGAAGAAGAAGAAGAAGAAAAAGAAGAAGAAGAAGGTTAGAAGAAGAAGAAGACGAAGAAGAAGAGGAATGGATGAGTGAATGAGGTGGACGATATGGAGGAGGAGGAGATGGAGGAGGAGGACATGGAGCAAGGTGTGCTGTGGGCGGGAGGAGATGGAGGAGACGGAGGACGAGATGGAGGAGGAGGAGGAGATGGAGAACATGGGGGAGGACATGGAAGAGATGGAGGAGACGGAGAGGGAGTAGATGGAGGAGAGATATGAAGGAGGTGGATGGAGGAGAACATGGAGGAGGAAGACATGAAGGAGGTGAACGAGATAGAGGACGAGGAGGCGATGGTGAAGATGGGTGAGGATGTGGAGGAGATGGAGGATATGGAGTGGGAGGAGATGGAGGAGGAGGATATGGAGCAAGAGGAGGAGATGGAGGACATGGACGAGGAGGAGAATGTGGAGGAGGAGGGGATGGAGCAAGGTATGTTGTAGTAGGAGGAGATGGAGGAGTTGCAGGTGGAGGAGATAGAGGAGATGGAGGAGATGGCGGAGATGGAGGAAATGGACGCGGAGGAGGACATGGAGGAGGGCATGGAGGATGAGGAGACGGAGGAAATGGAGATGGAGGAGATGGAGATGGAGGAGATGGAGGAGATGGAGGAGATGGAGGACATGGAGGAGGAGGAGGAGATGGAGGATATGGAGGAGGGTATGGAGGAGGAGGAGATGGAGGAGGAGGAGATGGAGGAGGAGATGAAGGAGATGGAGGAGTACATGGAGGACGAAGAGATGGAGGAGGCCTTGGAGTACATGGTGGAAGATGTTGAGAAGATGGACTTCGTGAGGGTGATGGCGGAGATCAATCAACCAATCAATCAATCAATCAATCAATGGAGACTATCAATCGATTATGCACTCAATGAACAAATGTACCCGTATCTAACTCCATGGTTGTCTTGGTTTGTCCATGCAGCTTAAACCTTTGTTGCATGCCAGGCTGATGCAGTGGTGTCACATGATTCGACACCAATTCAAGGGATTGGAGAATTAACAATCATTCATTCCTTGGGCCAGCGTTCATAGGCGGCCAGTCGCTATCATGTTCCTCCCCATCGTAGTCATGGCGATAGGCGGTAGACGGCCACGAGGGGGGCAACTCCCTCCATTCGAGCCAGTGCCTGCTCACAAGCAAGCAGATTTGAGGTGAACACATGTGGTGTGGGAGTCGGCGGAAAGGGGCAAGGAGTGGGGGTTGGCGAGCGGAGGCAACTTCCTTCTGCGCTGCTGACTGTGTGGGGAGGTGTTCACAGGTTCGAGGTCCATGGCAGTGGAACACTTCACGAAACCGAAGGCACACTGCCCTCGACGGAATCTGGAGATTTTGTGTAGACTTTAAGCGGCTGGTGCTTTGTTGAGGGATGCATTGTCACTCAGACTGGCTGCTGAGCACGCAGACAAGATGGATGGAGAGCTTGCCGCCGAGGACCTGCGTGAATTGGACGAGCCATGTGACCCGATGCCAGATCGTGCAGGAGGAGTTGGAGACGGTGATCGTGGTGAGGGTGGTACACAGCAGGGGCAGGATGCCGGAATTGTGAGAGATGAGTTGCGGGGCGTTGAAGGTGCAGGAGATAATGGAGGGGATGGAGGGGGAGCTCGGGTTACTGGCACGACGACCACCACCTCCACACATGTGGTGCCGACGAGGAGACAGACGACCCTAGTTGTTCATCTAGGGAACAAGGTCCAATAACATCTTGATCGTCTGTTGGCCCTTGCTATCTATCAAGGTGGAGTGCCCTTCAACTGGTTGCGGTTGAAGGAGACGCAAGACTATTGGAACTACATAGTCACACTCCTGCATCCTTCGATCGTGCCGGTGCCACGACTGCTGACATACGAGGGAGTCCGCACGAGGATGATGGACATCATTTTCCACGAGATAGCAGTCCTCATTGCACCTAAAAAGGCAAAGTGGGCTACCACAGGATGCACACTGCTGACAGACGGGGCTACCGACACGACCAACAAGCCCATCATGAGCTTCATAGTAGCAGGACAGTCTGGACCCATCCTCATGCGGACCATCGACATGTCGCATCGGGAAAAGACGGGAGTCGGCCTGGAAGAGATTTGGGAGGGAGTCATCAGAGATGATATTGACATTGACAATGTGAATGCCATCTGCACTGACAACGCAGAAGTGATGAAGACAGCAGCCGACATCTTGCAGTCACACCCCGACCCGGCTACTCGTCGCAAACCTTGGATCCCGTGTGCAACACATTGCTTCAGCTTGCTGCTGAGGGACATTGCGGCGCATTCTTGGGCGGCCACTGTCATGAGGAAGGCGCACACGTTAGTCAAGTTCATGCGCAACAAACAACGAGCCCTAGCACTTCACAAGACCATGAAGAACGCGCTAGTACTGAAGCGACCAGCGGAGACGCGTTTTGGGAGAACGTTCATGATGCTAGAGAGGCTATATGAGCAGAGGGTTGTGTTAGACAAGCTCGTGTCAGGGGAGTTGTGGGCGCAGGTGCGGTGGATTGGGGATGCGAGGAGGGATGAGCCCGAGGTGCGTAGAATGTGCAGAGACGATTCTTGGTGGGGGAGGGTGAAGATGTTCGTGGACGTCATGGCCCCGTGCTTCAGGTTCCTCAAGGACATGGACAGGGATGGATCATCACCCACAAGATTCTGGGATTTGGAGAGCATATTGCGGGGGGGGGTCAAGGCTCTTGGACTGACGGAGGATGAGAGGAGGGCGGTCATGGATTTCATATCCGACAGATGCAGGATGATGCGTCAGCCTGCCCATGCGGCTGCGTATCTGTTGGATCCTCGCCATCGTGATATCTCTTTGCTGGCGGACCTCAACAACTCCCTCGTGCAGAGCGCACTAAACCACTTGGCTCGCTTTCAGGGTGCGGGTTGAGAGTCTGATTCTGTGCATAAGCTTTGGCAGGCATTGTGGACGACCCTCGCTACTGGCCGAAAAGTGGAGCGCCCTGGTGGGACGAGTATGCGGTGAAGGACGCGGTGGAGTGGGGAATGCATGCAACGATGTGGTGGGAGCTTCACGGTGGCCAGGAGCCAAGACTACAGACAATTGCTCGCAAAGGGTCACCAAGGGGGCGGGGTTCTCAAGCGGGGGCTTCTGTCACCAAGGGGCAAAGGGTTCAACGGCCCCTTCTGTCACCAAGGGGGCGGGGTTCTCAAGCGGGGGCTGTTCGGGACTTGGGGGTGAGGAGAGTAGTGCTTCAAGTTCTGGGGCAAAGGGTCGAGGTAACATCAACCGCCATCGTGAACGAAAGGGGTAGGGGGCGGGAAGAAGAGGCGAGAGATACGTGGGGCGCCTTGGACGAGGGGTCGGAGGCCGAGTCATGGGCAGACCGGTGTCTTGCCGATTTCTCGGACTCGGATCTCGGGGATTATTGGGACTACGAGAACGAATTCTGAAAGGTTCAAGGACCACAGGGTACGTAGTTTGTAACTGCCTAACCTGAGAGAATCTTCCTAAATCTCTGCTTCCCTACCCCCTTTTCTTTGAATACCCCGATTAAATTATTCGATTCTAAGAGAGAAAAGAGTCAGCCGGTGGCGAAAAGGAAGAAGGGAACGAAGTGAGAAGAGTTCATGATACGAGAAGGAGAATGAGAGGGAGTAGACAAGCTAGCGATCACTGATCGATAGGCGGATAAAGTCTTGGGACCCGAGTAATTCCACGGTCGAGGTGGGCCGAGTAGGGGCGTGGTGCCGGATAGGCTAACTTAGGACTAGGTGTCGGTTCGGTGGGGGACATAGGGCACGGGTGTGTGACTACGGTCCGACTCTGAGGAGGGGTTTGCCACAATTCTTCGGGGATAACCTGTGTTCGCAGCTATTCCCTATACCTGGAAGTGGGAGGACCTCTCAGCGGGGGAGGACAGGAAGGTAGCCGAGTGAGACGGCGTTCCTTCTCTGGTCCATTTGATCCTGCTCGGCTCACAGACACCTTCTCCTTGCAGGGTAGGGGTGGTCTCTCGAGCTGCCAATAGTAAAGGTAACATAAATAAACTCTCTTTGATTAGGGTGAATGAGCTTAGTGGCTGTCTCGGAAGGAATTAGTGTGAGCAGTTACAACGGGGTCGACGTGTGGTGCTATACCTTTCGTCTGTGGACGGGGGATTTCGACGTCACCATTTACGTAGAGGAGGGTCAAGATCAAGGGGAGAATTTCCTCCGCGGATGGGAGGAGGCGGTCGATAGCTCTCGTGCGGAAAGAGGGGGGCTGCGAGGGTACAGGCTTAGATACTTCTACTCACTACGGTATCGGACTTATCCTAGGGGAGGTCGACCTGCGCCGGTGATTCCGGATGCTTATCTCGACGGGTCGGACGGGTGGAGAGTGTTGGTCGCAATCGTGGAGGAGATAGTGGGGAGCCTATGAGCTTAGGGGTTATGGAGTTTGAGCCGGCGGGCATTATCGTGGGTAGCTATGGGGGTACAGATGTGTGGTGCTACAACTTTTATCTGTGGACAGGGGATTTCGATATAGCGCTCTACGTAGAAGAGGGGACGGATCAAGGGGAAGCCTTCCTGAATAGCTGGGAAAAAGCGGTGGGTCATGCTCTGGAGAGGGAATTTTTAGGGCACTACGGGATAAGATACTTCTACACGCTGGGGTACCGGACTTTTCGACGACGGGAACGACCAGCACCCGTGATACCGGAGACGTACCTGGACGGGTCGGACAGTTGGAAGGTGTTGGTGGAGATCATCAAGGAGGTAGTGCAAAGCCAGGGGGGGCATGGTTAGGATTGTGGAAGGGGTAGACGACGGTAGGATAAAAGTAGAGAAGGCGGATCTTCTCAAAGAACGAGAGTGCTTTAATGTCCCCCTTGACCATCGTACGGAGAGGTACCTGGCCGGGCGTGAGAGAGGGATGAAACTTGAGAAAGGAGTTTTTCTTTGCGCGTGATTTACCGTAGGTATTTGGGAAGGAGATCAATGGACCAGGAATAGACCTAGGAACGGAGGAAAGGCCCGACGGGCGGCGGTTTGAGCTGAGGGCACGATCTATCTAAGTCGGGAGGCGTGGGTTGAGTACGTCACCCATTGGGCCTTAGGGTGGTATCGGACGGACCACTGGGAGGTACGCGCAGGGCCTATTCTGAGGCGAATTTTCGAGGAGGTGCCCCTTCGGCACAACCTACCATTCCGCTTGCTGGTCATTTGTGCTCAGGACGAGGAATACCCTCGTGCTGCAGGTTGCGTCCATGCTATATTCCCATCTTACGTCTTCAGGAGAGTGTGTGGAGAGGGAGCAGCATATGAGAAAGTCGTGAGATCTATAAGACGGGAGAGAAGGAGGGGGTTGTCCTTTCGTTCGTTTCATTGGTTCTATTCCTATTGTGTGGACAACCCGGTGTCGTACGGAGTTAGGGCCGACCGGATCCGAGAAAGGATCTCTCTAGAGTCGGAGCGAGACTGTGAGGGCGGGAGAGACTACCGTTACCAAAGGGTATTTGGAGTCCGCCAAAGGTAGGTTAGCATGAATGGTCCTATTTAACAAGGACATTAGTACGTTTGTCGAGTCCCCTCTAGACGAGCGAGGGGTGTGTAGCTTGGTTCCGAGCAACGGGGGAATCCCCGATTGGAGAAGGTTAAGAGGTGGAGAGATCACGATCGGCGAAAATTTCGTATGGATAGAGTCGGAGGAAGTGAGAGTTAGGACGACCGGGGTGCGTCTCAAGGTCACCGCGATAATCTTCGTCGAGCCGGGAGCTTGGTCAAAGATTGTAGTGCCCCTGGTCTTAGGCCAAGGGGGTGGGCTGGACCTATTACTCAGAGAGGCTAGAAAAGTAAGGCGGAGGTAGATAGATAGGGCCCAGAAGGAGTTTGGGTTTGCAACGATAGACGGGGAAAGGTTCGCTAGGGCCGGTGAGCTCCCGAGGGCGAGCTATCCCGTAACCATAAGGGTCCCGAGCTTTGTGTTCTCCGGCGCAAACGAGGGTAGGGTGGTAAAACTCCTGGAAAGAGGAAGGAGTTTAGGATTACCATTTGGGGCCCTATGGGTACTATACACTCATTGTGTCGATCAGGGAATCCCCCCACGAGGGAAACTCTGGGGTATTCTTAGAAGGTTAGGGTTTCTGGAGAAGCCTATCACCCTCTCACCTGAGAAATACCGCGAGTGGGTCTTTAAAACGACCTTAGTAGATGGTAAGGTTTGAGCTCAATGAGAACGGAGTGGTAGAAATTATAGAGGTCGGTGACGGAGGTTCGGTCTTGATCCCGGGGGACCCTCGTGTGACACCCTACTCGATGAGCATTGAGAAAGGAGGAGTCATCAGGGAGGGCGCCTACGTGCGGGTTCGAGCTCGCAGGCTTACTTGGAGAGAACGGGTGCAAAGGGGGGGTCCACCCCACCTCGGTCGGTTCCTCGAGGTTCAAGCTACGATCTTCCTCGACGAAGATACGTGGACCGAGATTTGAAGAGGTTTAGTGACCGGCCTAGAGACCCATACGGAATACCGCGAGTCTGCAAGGAAGGTAGCTAGTAACCTGGTACTGAGCGGTTACGAAGAAGGGACCTTCGAGTCGTGGACGCAGGTGTCCTTCGCCGAGCCGGGCGAGGTCCCTCGGGCTTCCAGGGTGCTCCACGCCACCCTGCCCCAGGGTACTGGCGCGTCCTGCGGGACCTGGAAGGGAGAGTAATGGAGATACTCCAAGCTGCTCGACAGACCGGGGTACGGACACGAGGGCTGTTTTGGCTCTACACTCGGTGTGTTGACGCTGGGGTTCCGCCTAGGAGAGAGCTAGCCCCTATCTTCGAAAGATTGAGGGAGTTTGAGGGGATCCGGGCTCACGTCGCCAACGTCCCTTACACCCGCCTCTTTGGGGACGAGCAAGTGACAAACCAGAGAGGGTACGAGGCTCAAACGAGGTGATGATAAGGGAAATTTCATGAACTCTTTGGGCCTCGGTAGAGCCTATAAGGGGAGGAGGAGAGGTTGTCCACATCACGTTGCCCAAGGAGAGCCAAAATAATTAGACGAGGGTCATCCGAAGAGAAGTGGCCGAAATCCGCCGAGGGAAGGCATTCGTTCGGCTGTCGGTGAGTAGCGGGGAGGGATTGGTGATCGGCGAAGCCAAGGTGTTCCTTTCTAAAGAGGGTCTCTTAGAGGTAGTCCGTAGCCTGAAGTTGAGGGAAGATCCGCTCTTAGACGCAAGAGTGGTACGGGACCGCCTAAAGAGGCTTGTGGAGGAGGTGAGTCCCCAAGAAAGGTACCAAAAAATATACCAAGTGACATACGCGGGTTGGGAAGAGGTACCCCTGGTTTTCGACAGTGACCCCGTCGGAGTCCCTCGTTTCATCCTTGAGCGAGTTTATCCGTTCGAAACGGTCAAAAGGGTGGTAGAGCGTAGGATCTCGATCCTGAACCAATTTCGGTTCACGAGATCGGACCTGCACTCCCTACTAAGGTGGTGCCTACAAAATCCGTACGAGGATAGTTGGTCGTCGTTAGAGGGTCTGGGCTACGCCTCCGAGGGCTGGGGCCAACACGTGAGGGTGTCGACCATCTCCTAGAGATACTTGGGAAAGATCTGTGAGGAGGGGTTGGAAGGATTAGACCTCTCAGATCTCATACGAATCGCGATTGCGTGTCGGCGAAGGAACCTGAGGCATGAGTGAGCCTGACTCCGGAAAGCTGGTGGGACTAGAGAGGGTGGGGGCCGAAGTTTATAGAATCCTGACCCTTTACTGGGAAGAGGAAAGAAGGGCGAGGCGGGGGTCTTTGCGAAAGATCAAGTTACTAGAGGCGGCCATGGTAAAGATACTCGACGATTTAAAAGAGGAACTACTCTCGGGAGGGAGATAGGCATGAGAGTTACCTACACCTCCAACTCGATAATCTGAGAGTTGGAAACAAGGGACGACGGTCCCGAGGTCGAAGTAGAAGGGGGAGCGGAGCTTAGCCCAGGCCTTGGAGAGAACCGAATGGCTCGTGCCGAGAAGAATTTCCTCGTCGAGGTCCGACGACTGACCTTGTGGAAAAGAAGGTCTTGGACCACCTTAGCTAGGTTTTCGGTCTTTATTAAAAAGGTGAGAGGGGTCCGGTTCTCTAGAACTTGGAGAGAACCTTTGACTGAGGTCGAAAGAAGGTTTGAGGAGGACTCAAGGTGGCTTGGAAATCCCTTCGAAGCCAGGGTGCATCTGGTGGAGGCACGCTTCTGGGATAGGACGGGAGAGTACGAGAAAGTTTTACATCAAACAATACTCGATCAAGGCGAAGGCTCTCGAGAGAGGTGCAAGGACTCGCTAGCCGAGGCGGCCGAGAGATTGACTCGGGTGGGGTGAGTCTGTCAATGATTAAATACGACGGGGGGAGCCCTGTCGGGACCTTAGAAAGGGCTTGGAAGTCGGGATCTAGGTATGGAGTGACCCTCCCCAAGGTTGAGGAAGAAGGGGAGTTTATTACGGAGTTCTTCGAAATCTATGGGCAGAAAGCTCTAGTTCGTTTCTCAATAGTTTCAAGGGAGGGCACCCATACGAGAAGGGCTGAGATCTTCTTGTCTCACGACAATAGATAGTTCTTTGCTACTTAGTTAGCAGAAGGAAAGGACCTGTTGGGTATCGCGTAGAAAGCCCAAGACCGACTTAGAACGTTGAGAGGGGGAGTAGCGGGAAGGCGTGAGATAGAGGGGGAGCAGCCCACAGCCGGACCTGGGAGGTCCCTGCGTGGGTCTACCGTTTACTCTACCCCGACGACACAACGGTGAGGAAAGTCCAAATTAGGGGCCCGATAATTGAAAAATTGCCCCTAGGAGAAGAGAAGGAACACAAGTTGTTCACCCTGTGTTGGGAGTCTGTAGAGATTACGGACTTCGAGTGGTCGTCTTTAGTCGGCGATTTCATCAAGCCCCTGTTCTCGGGATAGGCCGGAGAAGTAGATAAAGACCTGATTAGACAGTGCTCGCAGGAAGGGATTAGAGGCGTCCCGGATCTGGAGATCGCCAACCTTGCGCTAGCCTCTTACGAGGAGAAGAAAGTGCGTGACTCTTAGTGGACAGTGAGCGAAGAATCTGAGGGTGATAGTGAGGAACAAGGATCGAGTGAGGAAGAAAAGGGTCCGGAAGAGAGTAACGAGGCGGAAGGCCAAGAGAGTGACTCTAGGGAGGAAAGCGACTAAAAATTTATGCATGGAAAGTGTGGGTGAGCACGGGGTCGCCCGATCTCCTAAGACCGCTATCATGGGGCGAACTGAGGAGGATGTTGAGTTAGGAGCGAGGTTGAGCAAGTCGGCCGAAGGAGTGACCGAGGGGATAGAAACTATCGGTAGGGCCTTAAGGAGCCTGGTGGAACCCCTCGAAGAATAAACTACGGAACCGCGTGCGAGTTCAGATGAGCGTTTGCACCGAGAAATGGAACCACGTGTGCCGATGAGAGAGAGGGCGACAGAAGCCACAAGGGGCTTCCTAGTCGAGACTCGATGGGCGGGCCATGTGGAAACGGAGGAAAGAATCGGCGAGGGGCAGGAATTCCTTCGTGATAGGGTTGGATGTTGGGCACCAAGGAGAGGCGAAAAAGGTAGCCTAAGGAGGAGGGATCTAGGAGAAGAGCGACTTATCGAAATTGGGGGAGGACCTCGGAGATGGGTCAGTAGGGAGGCCGGTCCCGCGTGGGTACAAGAAGAGGCGGTAGGAAGGAATATGGGAGGATTCGGAGACATCTGGAGAGGAGCTAGGGGCCAAGAGTCCATGGGCTGGGAATGCCAACACCCGGGGGATAAAGGCCGCCGTGAGGAGGAACCATGGGGACCTCCGAGAGCTCGGCCTCGGATGGAGGATTTGGATCCTTCCTGGTATAAACCCTACGATCCAACGATAGATGGGTCATCGGAAGGCCCTTATTTCCGTCAGTATGACGACCGCCGAGTCCCCTACTACGATGTGAACCTGGGACTAGAGTTGCTCTACTTTAACGGGAGGGACGTGACAGGGTTCGTAGAGAAGTGAGAGAGTTACGCCTACCGGAAGAAGTTATCGGAAAAAGAGTGGATCGACCACTTCATACAACATTCGGACCCGGAACTGGACCAGGCCATTAGGGCCGTATACCCGTCTGATGGGAGGTGGAAGACCTTCAAGAACAACTTATTGAGGATCTTCGCGTGTGACGACATGATCCCCACGATAGAACGGTTGCGGCGAGTTACGAGAGGAGAGCAAAAGAGTCTGGTGGCTTTTACTAGGAGGTTCAAGCGTTTATCTCAGGCTTTGGTGGATAGGAGGATGCTTTCGGAAGTAGACCGGTGCGTAGTGTTCATGTTGCACCTGCCTGAGGAGAAGAGGAAGGAGGTCCTCGAGAAGGTCCCTAGAGACTCCGCGAATTTCGAAATAGTCGCCGAGGTGGTCTTTACGGGAGAAGGAGTAGACGTGCGAGAATACATGACGGATAGTCTGGATATGGCGCTCCGGAGTATGCGCACCCAGAGGAGTGACGGTCCCCGTGGGTACGAAAGGCAGCCTCCTGGGCGTCCCGGTCAACGTTGGGGAGGAGGACCCCCGGGTTGGCGGAGCGAACCTGGTAACCAAGGGAACAAGAAGAGCGACCGAGAGGCTGGAGGGAATCGGGCCTCGGAATGGGGAAACTCCCGTTGGAGGGATGCCAAGGATGGACGGTGGGGAGACCCTCCCCAACCTAGGAACGAGGGGACTCGTCCCGAGGTAAGTCAAGGTAGGGTGCCGCAGCCTCCCGGCCCGTCCGCAACCATGAGAACGGCACCTCAAGTAGCCCCTCGCCCCAACAATCCGCCACCTCGAAGCGGGTGTGTCTATTGAAATGAAGAGGGTCACATCAAGCTGGAGTGCCCTTACCTTACGGAAGCCCTGAGATTGGGGGTGGTAAAATTAAATGAGAATAAGTGGGTAGTTTGGGGGGATGATGGAGACGCAGTCTCCTTTTATCCCTCAATGAAGGTAAATGTAGACAACCTTTCTCTCCAAGAGACGAGATTGGGAAAGAAGTCCGAGGTTGGGGAGACCTCCAACTCATCCCGCGTCCAAATGACAGAGTCACCAGGAAGCATGTCCATAAGGGAGCCCCAGGTGTCGAGAATCAAGTTCGTTGAGACCCAGCCCGAAGAAGAAGGGCCTTGCCTAAGGGTGAGGACCCAAGTTGGGGCCAGGCCATCTAAAGGCAAGGAGAGCGCGACGGAGGGTGGAAGGAGAAGGAGCGGCGACAACGACCAACCGATGGTCGACGCCAAAGTCATGGAAGAGAGGAAGGGGGAAGAACCCACGTCACCCAAGTCACCTAGGAAAAAGGGGGCGAAGAAGTTCGAGATGAAATGCACCTTGGACGAGATAGACACGGTAACTCCCTTGCGAAGAACTCTAATGCAACCAATGCAATGCACGCTCCTTGAGTACTTAGCGGCTAGCAAGAGCGTTAGAGAAAAGCTCATAAGCATCACCAAGAAGGTGAGGATACCGCTCGCGGGAGGACCAACAGTTCCCGGAGATGGACCCGCCAGAGAGGAGGTGCAGTCGTCGCGAATAACGATGGAAAAACTGCCGACGAGTTTTTTTTCGGAAGAAGAACTTGAAACTAAGAAATTTTATAAGCTTGGGAGTGGCCAGCTCCAAGCCGTGGTGAGTGGGAAAAAGATGAGAGCCCTGGTGGACAATGGGTCCGAGTCCACCGTATGTAGGGATTCTATCGCAAAGGAATTAGGACTTGAGGTGGATAGGGGAGTCTTCATGCCCATGGTCGTCGCGGACAATAAGCTCCAACCGGCGGAAGGAGTATGTCACAACCCTTTGATTGAGGTCGCGGGGGTAGAAGCTACGGTCCCCATTTTCTTAGTGAAGGAGTGTTCTTCCGAGCTGATCCTAGGGAGGACCTAGCTGAGCGCGGTCCACGCCACCACGGTCGACCTACCAGACGGGAGTCAGACTCTCTCGATCCAAAGCTCGGATGGGATCAGAGTGGTCCTAAAGACCGTGGATGCTCGGGATGAGCAGAACCGAACCAGTATCCCAAGGAGGAAGGAAGCCCAGTCACGAGTGTGCCGGGTCCGGTTAGAAGAGTCGCCCTTGCCCGACAAGGAACCCCCGGGGGACAAAGTGGACGTTGAAGATGTTGGGGGACGAATTATAATCGATGGGGTGGGATACGAGAAAGAAGACGAAGAGGAAGAATTCGGTGGATGCGTCAGATTGTTTTTTTCGGAGGAATCCCCCTAGCCGGCGGAATTAAGAAGCATAAAACTGTGGCGGAAAAAGTAAAGTCCGCTGCGTTCAGCCGGGATAGAACGGGGGAAACCTCGATATCGGAGGAGAAGATCGTCGATATCATTAGGAAGTGGAAGAAGACCGAGGGGCAGAGAATTACTGCCGATAGGCTAGCGAAAATGGACATATGGGATGGGAACCTCACCGAGCGGGAGAAGGAGTATGTGGCTATGACCCGAAGGGATTGCGACAAAGCCATAACCTTTGATGACTCTGAAAGAGGAAGGATCAACCCAAGGTACGCCAAGCCTGCCCGGATCCACACGATCCCTCACGTGCCTTGGAAAGATAGGCCCCCGTGGAAGTATGCGCAAAAAGAGAAGGAGGAGATAATGATCTTCATCAAAGAAAAAATAAGGACGTTTGTTGCGGAACCTTGTGAAAACGCCTACTCTAACAAGTGGTTCTTTCTGAGAAAAGGAGGGAATAACAAATTAAGGTGGATCCAAAATCTTCAAAAGACCAACGTGGTCACCGTAAGGGATGTAAGATCTATACCTGAGGCTGATCTACTCGCAGAAGGATCGGCAGGTCATTCGATTTACTCAATCTGCGATCTTTTCTCGGGCTATGATGAGATTCCATTGGACTATAGGGATAGGCATATGACCGCAATGCACACATCTTTGGGGTTAGTTCAAATGATGGTAGTACCCATGGGGTGGACCAACTGACTGGCCGTTTTCCAGAGGGCCATGATCGCAGTCCTCAAGGAGTTCAAACTGGACAAAGTGGAGGTTTTCCTTGACGACTTCCCGATAAAAGGGTCGGTCCAAAGGGATGGGACGGAGGTCTTTCCCGGTGTAAGGAAGTTTGTGGTGGATCATATGGTGGATGTGAGGGAGGTCCTCACGAAATTAGAGGATGCCAACCTTACCGTGAGCGGGACTAAGAGTCGCTGGGGAGTGTCGTCAATCAAGATATTGGGTTTTATCTGTGACATGGATGGCGGAGGCCCGATCCCGCGAAGCTAGAGGTATTGATGACCTGGCCGTCACCACTAAGATCAATCACGGAGGTTAGACAATTTCTAGGGGTGGTGGGCTATTGGAGAATCTTTATACGAGCCTACAGCGAGAAGACGGAGCCACTTAGGCGGTTGCTCAGAAAAATTGAGAGTTGGGTCTGGGGAGAGGAGCAGGCTGCAGCCATGGAAACCCTTAAAGAGGAGTTCCGCGAAGGAGGGCAAGTCCTAGGCATTCCTTTCTTCGAGGACGAAGAGAACCGCCGTTTTATAGCCTCTACGGACGCTGGGCCCTGTTCCGTAGGAGGGCTTCTATCGCAAAAAGATCAGGACGGAAAAGAGACACCTCTTCGATTTGAGAGCCGAGTCTTGAATCCCGCCGAAAGGAACTATAGTCAGTTCAAGAAGGAAGTGCTGGGAGTGTTGCACTGCCTAAAAACCTCCCGTCATTACATCTACGGAGGGCGGTTCCTCCTAAGAGTGGATCCGACCACGGTAGCCACAGTCCTTCAAAAAGACTTTTCGCTAACCAACCCTACTATTGCTAGGTAGATGATCCACATCAGGCTCTACGATTATAGGGTCGAAAGAATCTCCGGGGCCAAAAATCAGGTCGCGGATGGGTCGTCTCGACTCCCCATCTGGGAAGAGGATTATCCAAAGTTGGAGGAAGTGACTCTATCAATGGTCAAGGACGAGGTGATCCAAGTCGCCGCTGATTGGGCGCAAGTGGTTGTAACCGCTCGAGAGGAAGAAGTCCCTAGGATGTTCCTCACTAACCTGTACGACGGGAAGTACCGCGATATAGGGTTGTACTTAGCGGGTAGGGAAGGAGGCATCGAGGTAATCAAGAGGGAGGCGTTGGGGTATTGCCTACAAGGGGGCCACCTCTTTAAGAGACCCACCAAGTTTGCAATTCCCATGAGGGTGTTTTGCGATCCGGAGGAAAGGAAAGCGGTCAGAGAAGAGCTACACGATGGGGTCGTTGGAGGATATAGAGGGGTAAAAGGAACTTTTGATAAGGTCCGTAGGCTCTATTGGTGGGATGGGCAGTATGGGGAAGTCGAAAAGTACTGTTTGACCTGTGAAGTTTGTCAAAAGAGCGCGACCGTTCACTACAAGGAACCCCTAGTTCCGTCGCTCCCCAGTGTTCCAGGTGAAAAGGTCCACATTGACTTAGTAACCATGCCTAAAGGAGTCGGCGGACTTAGGTACATAATCAACGCCCGCAATGACCTTACTGGATTCATGGAAGCAAAGGTCATTAAAAAGAAGATGGCCGAAGAGGTGGGTGACTTTTCTTAAAGTACATCGTGAGGTACGGGTGCGTCGGGAAGGTCGTCATGGATAGAGGCTCCGAATTCCTAAGTCGGAAGGTCAAGACGATATTGGAAAAGGCGGGGATAAAGGTTGCCTACACGACTGTCTATCATCCCCAAAGCAATGCTTCGGTCGAGAGAGGTCACCAAACGCTTGTAGATGCCCTAACCAAGTGGTGCAAGGGTCTCGCGGAGCAATGGCCGAAATACTTGCGTTATGCAGTTTGGGCCGACAGTACCACGGTCAAATCGAGCACAGGGTATCCTCCTTATACGCTCTAGTTTGGTAGGCACTGCCCTTTGCCCATCGAGTTTCACGTCGACACTTGGACGAGTGTCTCGTGGAGAGCCAGCATGACAAGGTCCGAACTATTGGAAACAAGGATACAACAAATATCCGAGAACCTTGACGCGGGACTTGCCGAGGCAGGGGAGAACATCGAGAAGGAGAGAGTAAAAGGAAAAGAAAGGTGGGACCAGAATTTGCGGGTCTGGCAAAAGCCGATAGGAACTAGTGACCTTGCCTTGATGTACGACTCGTCGCTGGAAAAGACTTGGAGCTGGAAACTAGCCAACCGGTGGATGGGGCCATACCAAGTCCTAAAGAGATTGGATGGAGGGGCGTACCTTTTTGCCGAATTAGACGGGACTAGGTTACGGGACCCTATTGCGGGAGCCCGCCTCAAACTTTTTCGGTGCAGAGAAAGCCTTAGAGAGGAAACAAATAGGAAGGGCAAGGAAGCGGTCGACGCAGGGATGACCGTCGCTCGTGAGGAAGGAGAGACTTCAAAGCAAGGAGCCTCTTCGCGGCCGCTTAAGAAGGGATATAAGGTTTGGAAACCTCCCCTGCCAAAGACCCTTAGAAGGAAGAAACGGCCTAGTGAGGATGACAGTGATAACGACCAACTAGGAAAACGTAGGATGAGAGAGAGAAGAAACGCCTCAAGAAGAGCCTCGAGGTCCAAGCGTGAGAGAGAAGAGAGGAAGAGAAAGAGAGAAAGGCGCGAGATAAGATGAGGAGACGGAGGCGGATATAAAATCGCTTGGGAAGAAGGGGAGTGATGTACCATAATATAGAGTAATACCAAAAAAGGGGAGGGAACATACTGTACCATAGTTAGAAAACAGGTGTCGCGGTCCCAGAGGGAGGTGTTGTACCATAGTTAGAGGAAACATGTATGGTTCCTCAGGTAGGGGACTAAGGGGGGCGGTGCCATGATGAGGCAATGAGGTCTAGAAACAAGGGGAAACAAGGGATAAAACGTAAACTCATTATCAAAAGGAGTGGAATAGAGCGAGCTATGAACCGAGAAAAGAGACGACCATTGGGTGTGGGAAAGAGGGCTACGCGAAAAAACTCGTCGGGGACGGCGAGAATTGGGGTGTGGGCTGGTTGTCGGGCGGCTGCCTACCAGCCGAATGCGCTACTTTAGCGAGGAATGATCTTCTTTCATGAATGGTTTCTTTGTTTTCTGTGATTGGCGCCTGAATGCATGCGGCTTTGGGGATTTTCGGGAAAAATGGGGATTTTTTATTTTTTGTTATTGTTTTGACAAGCCGAAAGAGAGCGATCGGTACCAGGTCTCAAGCGGGGCCATGAGCGGACAAAATTGATGTTTCAACGAGACACGCTAAGAATGCGGGAACGACAACTAATATTGAGGCTAAGAGAAGAAATCGAAAAGACACAGGGTACGGGTTGAGAGGTGGACCTTAATTGGCGGCCGCAGCAGGACTGGTTCCGACGAAGGAATGAAGGTGCGAGGAGGGCAACCCTGGAGCCACGGCGATTCTGAGACACGGGCCCTGGAACGGATAGCAGAAGGAGAGAGAGGGGGATCTCGCCTAGCCTAACCTGCGGCCTAGAGGTTATCACCCTTGGCTATGGAACGGGGGGGGGCGACACTTGATGTGGATACTCGCACCCAAATTGTCTGATCACCTTGACCAGGGGGACGGGACCAGGACTGATAAAGACATCGCTGCAGGGCCGGGGGGGTCTGAGCCGGCAAAATGACAAGAGAGGAGTCATGGCCGGTGATCAACTGGGAAAGGATCCTATCAAACCGGCGCCTGACTTGGGGAAAGGACGCGCAGTTCGATCACCCGCGCCCAGGAAGCTTGGGCATACGGAGCACGGAGAAGACGACAAAAACCGCGAGCTGCCTGGTGTGAAGATGCATGAGCCCTCGAGAAGGGATTGACCAGGAAGTAACCAGCCTCGAACCGGTATCCTATCAGAGGTTCCTTCAAGCTGAGGTCAGCAGCAATGCGACCCCTCAGTATGACAGGCGTTTTGGGTCTTCCTGGGGGCGGTCGAACGAATGGCTTCGGAGCTAGAGGACCTGTGATCAGAAGGATGACGAACAAAACAGGGGGGGGTCGAAATGCATCCCTGCGCTCTGCCTCTAACCGTTTTCTGCAACCAAGAAAATCTCGAATGTTACTAGCGGCAGAATGAGGAAAAACGAAAAGAAAAACATCGGGCAGCTCCAACTGTTCGAACGCAGGGGGGGCTTGGTTATGCGCACCCTATTCTTGGTGAGTGGGTGGGGAAGGCGCGCGTGCGCCTCAGGCTTCTTGATAATCGTCGGGAAGCCGAAGAAGCGAGAAGCAGCGGTGGAAAGGCAGTCAAAGTGGCGAGGGATGAACTACGAGAGGAGAAGCTACGCTGCAGAAAGAGCACATGAGGTGTTGATCCCGCCATCACGGGAGAATTGAATCCTATTGGTAGGGGGACGAAAACATGGATGGAGGAAGTAGAGAAGTAAAGATGAGGGTGGGAATTCCGTAATTGGCCGAAAATTTCGAACCTTGCCGCCTAAAGAAGTCGGACACTCAGTCCGCTGGGAAGGAGGAGTGCAGCAAAGGAGCGAGGTAACGGGTATAAAAGGACGGGGAGAAAGGAGAATGCGGCACGCACGGGGTTAGCCTGCAGGCGGACGGTAGCACCCTCGCGTTCTTGGTAGCGCTCGTGAAGCCGCACGGAGAGGAGGCGCGCGCGTCGACAGAACGCTCTTCAGACGTACAGAACGTTCGCGACTGCTCAAGGGAGTGCTCGACTTGCGCACGCACGGAGATTCTCGGACGGGAACGTTCCACACGAGTTCGCGTCGAGCTCGATCACACGTACGGGAGCTAGGCTGCTCGTGTGGGCAGACGACGGAGCTTCGACACACAGAGGTGAAACGTTCGGGAGCTCGGCCACGCCCTCGAGCGGACTAGCGAGAGAGGGAGCAAGGGGCTCCGGGGCGATCCTCGAGGAACGCCTGGAATCCATGAAGGTCGGATTCCAATCCGCATGAAGGGAGTAAGCGTAGAAATCCTCTCAGGCGTCAAAAGGACCGTCACGCAGGCGTGTGGAGAGGTGACCCACCCACGTGTCGGGTGGGGCGCACATGAGCTGGAGGGTGCGGGTGGCAGACTGTAGCCACCGAGACACCTGTATGCCTGTACCAACATACAAGGCAATGTCTGTCAAGCGGACGAGTGGTGCGCCACCGTTTTGGCGGCGAGAGGATCGAGGAGCAGAGGTCTGTGCCACAACTGATAAGTCGGCGCAAGTCCTGGAGAAAGGGGCGCAACTGACTGTACGCCCGGGCCGCATAGGGGAGCGGAGGGGGCAACGGCGGCAGGCTGCGAGGGAGCTGTAGTAGAAGAGGTCGCAGCAACCGCGAGAATATGAAGAAGGTAGGATGGGGCTGGATAGGGTACAGGGCGAGGGAAGCAAGCCTGCATGGAAGGAAGGGTAGAGGAAGGAGGGGGTGCGCCCGAAGGCGCGGCCACCTGTGAGGGTGGGGGTGCGTGAAGGCGTAAGAGGGCGAGGTCGACCCGGGTCTGGGCAAGCTCATCCTCGAGACGTTGGACTTAGATCGAGCGAGGAGTGGCAGGAGGAAGAGTGGGGGAGGTGGACGCACGAGCGGCGCGAGGCATCCTAGAGGGGGAAGAGCCAGGTGGCGCTGCGGTCTTACGAAGGGGAGGGAGAAGCGGGGCACCCGGAAAAGCTCAGACCATGGTAACGGGTTGTGGTCCCATGGCCGTGGTGACCGGAACCTGGGATGGTGCGCCCATAGAGTGAGGGAGGGCCTGACTCGTGACGGCCGTCGAGCTAGGGGCGTGGACGGTCACCAAGATGGTCGGGTCGTGGGCAGCGGAGGAGGAAGCTACACCGTGGCCACCCCGTCGAAGGACTCGGGACCCGGACTGGGAGCCAAGAGAAGAGAGAGAGTCAGGAGATGAAGGACAGGCAGCGTCCTGGAGTTGCTGCACGTCGGCGGCAAGGGTCGCCACCTGCGTCTGTAGGGGCGCGAGGATCGCGAGTTGTGTCTGAATGATGGGCGCGAGGAGGGAGGTGAGGAGGGTGTGCAGATCCTCCGGGGCTGATGGCCCTGGCCCGCCGGCACGGGTGTGGAGCTCGGTGCCGTGGTTGTCGTCGCGTCGGCGGCGTGTGACACACCGTCGGCCATGGGGAGGTAATGGGCCGGACTGGAGGGGGCTAGAGGAGGTCCACGTGAGCGGAGGGCGTAGGGGGGGGTCCGCTGTAGAAAGCGGCAGACGGCGCTAGCAAGGCAAGCGCGGGCGCCGTCAAAGGGGGAGGGGTGGTTCGGGTCCAGGGTGCCCGAATAGGAAGGGGAAGTAGGGGAGGGTTGAATAACTCTAAACCCTAAAAAAACCCTAAGAAAACCCTAACCGGAGTTTGAGTGGTTAGGGTAGGGTACCGGTGACCTAATCAAGAAAATAAAATAGCAAGCATGGAGGGGGAGGCGGGAGGAAAATAAATAAACAGTGAAATTTCGAGAGAAAAAAATAAAAAAATAAATAATAAAAATAATTAAGGGAATAAGCTAGGTTACCAGTCGTCTGATGGCCGAACGTCTCCCCCACCGTCCGGTAGGGGGGTTGTCCGGGATCCCGGACAACCACTTTTTGGCATTAAAAAAAAAAAATAAAAAAAAATTGGGATGTTCTTGTGCAAAACTGGGAGATCCCCCGAAAAAAGTTTGGGGTGATTTGGAGCATTTATGGGAAAAAAAATGTTTTTGGGGGTGGGGGGGGTTTGGGGGGGTGGTGTGGGGTGTATGAAAGGGGGGGGGTTGATGGAGTAGGCGGATGCAGCTGGTGTTGCATGTACTGATGCGTCTGCAACACTTGTTGCATATCCATACACCCACATCCACACACATATGTGCAGTACAACACACACACACACACACACACACACACACACACACACACACACTGTGACATGCATGCACACACACACATACACACACACACACACACACACACACACATCGAGTGGCGATGACCTTACCCTGTGGACTAAACCAACTGACCGACTAGCAATTTCACACACATATACACGAGATATTGACTCAATGGCAGACCAACACAGTGCACGCATCGTATGAAGACAAGCTCATCAATGTCAATCGCAGATACACGAAATTGCAACATCAACGTCCAAGTTCCTCCATGCTACAACCACCGATGACAGAACGCATCCCTCAGCGCAGTAGTGAACATCCCTCTAGTCGTCCTCGTGCCCATTACCATCTGAGCTATCGTCATGTCCACTCTCGTCCTCTCCCTGGGCACGAGTCTCACTATCCCTCTCATCCACGTAGTCACTACCAGAAAGGCCATCACTTGAGGCGGCATCTGAATCGTCGTCAATGATACGAGTGGATTTCCTACTGCAAACTCCACTCGAGGCCTGAGACCTCGTACGAACACCCACCCTCATATCAATGCATGCAGTGGTGCGCTGCCCAACATCGTCCTCACCCTCGTCGTCTGCCCCCAATGCACTCATCGCCGATGAATCTTGACCCCTGCCTTGACCCCTGCCTGACTCTGAGCCTCGCGGGCGACCACGAGGTCTGCCTGTGCCACCCTGTGGTCGTGGAGGAGGTGGTAATGTGCCTCTGTCATCCTCCCTCCTCCTCTTCCTCCCTGCACGACTTGTCTTCACATTATCAACAATGGGTGATGGAAGTCGTGCAGGGAGCGGTGGCATGCCTAATGGACTACGCACAGGCGGGGCAGCCGCCGCTGACGACGTGGATGCTCCACTCGCGTGCGCAGCCATGCGTCGTAAAGTCACCGATGGGGGGTGGTGTAGGGCACTGGCAGGGGACACTGTGGGAGATGAAGTGCCACCACCATGTCGTCCAACTGTCGTCGATCTGCCGAGAAGATGAACGTCTGCTGCATCGGGTGATGGGGTGGCACGTGTGGGCATGGGCGGAATCCCATAGAATGAGGCAGTCGACAGTCTAGCATCACTCTGCCTCTTCCCCCCCCCTCCTCTGTAGCAACCTCAGCATCCTCACTCTGGATCATACTCTCGCGTGTAGATGCCACACCCCTCCTCTCGCGGCCCCTGTCCTCCGTCCTTCGAACTACGCTCTCATCCATGGTAACGTCCACCTGAACCTCCAAGCTGTGTCCATGCCTCCGCTCTCTCCGGTGTTCAATCCTCTAGTCAGCCCTCTGCTCCGCCCTGTCCTGCACCATCCCATCTACCCTCTGCTCCCCCCTCTGCTCCACACCAAGCTCTGCGACAGACGCTGGTAATGGGTCCGCCCTGTCATCCACCCTCTGGCTGACATGCACTGAGGAAGCACAACCAATCCTCTGCTCCGAGGTCTGAACCACTGTAGGACGAATGACGTCACTGACCCTACGCTCTCCACCTCCGCCCGCCACCTGTCTATCACCATCCCCACCACGTAGCACGACCCTTTGGACAACTGACAGAGTGATGCTCTGTGAACCGCCGCCTCGATGTGTAACCTGCTCAGCGACCTGGCGCACCTGGTGTGTGTCCTCCGGCCTGTCATCCGCCTGATGACCCTCCCTTCCAATCATCTCCTCCTCTGCCCCTCACAGAATCCTCTCAGCAGCATGATGGGGTGTTGTAGGAGTTGACATACATGTATCAACTGAAACACCCCCAGTATGTCCTCCCTCTCCGGCAGTCGACGAATGTGGAACGTGTTGACTTCTCTCCTCCTCCTGCCCTACCTCTGTGCCTCCTACCTTGCTATCCCTGGTCAGAAGCTCCTCCAAATCTACCCGACCCCCAACCCTCCCCGTAGACTCCTCACGGTATCCACACTCTGCCCGATGTAGGCGTCAAAATCGGTGAGAGGGTCCGCTCCACCCCACGCGTCCAATAAGTCATGCTGGTCCTCAAGCAACGTACGACCTGCATCTCTCTGCTCCTGCTGCGCCTCCATCATCTCTCTGTGCATCCACACCGCATCCTGCCAAAGGGCCTCATCACCCTCCTCATCCTCATCCTCCATCAGTGCCTTCCCCTTCCCAAATCGATTACGCCCCTCCTTCCTTCTGTTCCTCCTGTCGATCTCCTCCCACTCCTCCTCTGGCGTCGCTGCGGGGACACTGTCGTCACCATCGATCTCCTCCGCGGGGTCCTCCACCTGGTCCTCCCACACATCAATGTACCGGTTGTCCGTCCTCCTGCTGGCACTAAGGAGCTTCAAGTTCTAGTGAATGAAAACAAGCTTTTCGACACTCTCTGCAGAAAGGTGGTTCCTCCTCTTCGCACCCTTACAAGGGTATCCGCCCTGGTTTTTGCAAGTGACAGAAGGGGCCGTTGGTTCAGGCCTTGTGAGCGTTCAATTGGTTACCTGCGTATGGGCCAGAGTTATCTGAGTAGATAGGGTGAGTGGACGCGCAGTTTTAAGGCGCGCGTGTGATTTTACCCTTTTAATTGTAAATGCCGGCATAGATGTCCACTTTGATCTTGCATCGTTGATTAAACTAAGGATTGATAAATTCACCCTCGCTTGCCGTGCCTGACATGTTTGGTATGTGGGACGACCATGACACAGTTGAGGAGGCCGGCATGGATACCTAGCGGTCGAACGCCTGGTTGTAGGTGGAGGCGAGGCCCCAGGCTTTTCCCTCAGCATTAAGCACAGGACCGCACCACCTTATATAGGATTCAACGCCTGTTGGTTCCAGGCTTGGGCTTAGCCCTATAGGTTACGGCATTGGGTTACTGCTATGGAGGTTCGGGGATCAATGCCAGCAAGCGGCGGAGCGGAAGCAGCGGAGCGGAATGGAGAAAGCCGAGGGGTTGAGGGCCCGTTGGGGCTATCCCCCTGAGTTTTTGCTGATAGAAGCGACGGCGGGTTCGACCTACGAGACTGACCAGGTGCCGACAACCCTTGTTCCCCTGAGGACCCGTCGTTGTAACTTTTTTTATTTTTTTTATTTTTTTGCTCCGTCCCTTTCGGGGCCTGGTATACGGGCCGCGGTTAGGTCAGGCGAATGAAGGGTGTACGATGGTTCTCCGCCTGTAGCAGGGCTGCGGAGCACTGCCCCGGGGTAAGTCCTTCGGAACATCCGTAGAAATTTGGAACGATACAGAGGAGATTAGCAAGGTCTCGACACATGAGTAATACGTATAAACTAGGGGTCGTTTTCTACAATTTTTTTTTTTGGTGTTGCTTTCACTTCAACGAACGCATCGTACTTGTGCTCAGAGAGCTAGTGTGCCATCGGGTTGCGAGGCGCTCTGGATCGGAGCGTAGCTCCCGATTGACGTCAACACGATCGGGTCGGAAGGATGGCGGGATAACGGGTTCGGGCGCAGTGAAGGGAGGATAGCGCACACGTTACTTTATGGTTTTTAACGGGGAAGGAGGCGATCTTGAGGAAATTGGGTATGACAAGTTGCGTGGTATGGTTAGTTTTAGTGTTAGAGTAGTTGTTAGTTTGGCACGAGCGCCAGCAGCTGCGCGGAGCTAGGGAAAGGGCGGGAATGAGAAGAGTGAGATAAGCGTGGCCCGCTCATCTCTCGACGAGAACGTGTGACGAAGGATGAGATTCTGGAGTTTTTAGGTTGGGCAAATTCGATTCCGCGGCCAGTTTAGTAGAGAGTTAGTAAGAAAATAAGTTGCACGGTTGCTATGGCGGAGTGTCAAGTAAAGAGAAGGAAGCTAAAAACGGGATGAATTTCCCTACCTTTCAGCAGATGATTCATTCCGATCTTTGCTATCTCATGGGTAAGAAACTTCTGCTCCCTCTTGTGTGCATAATGACATGGTATCTGGTAACTCCTTAGTTTGGACCTGCACTCTTCGTAGCGGTGGTCCTTGCGATTGTTCGAAGCTGGGACCTGCGTTCATTTCCTAATCTGAACCTGACCACAAACACCGCTAGGTGCATTGCTATTACTGAAGTATTGTCAACGAGAGGGAGAGGAGGAGTGATACGTACCTAGCGGACCTGGAACAGGAGTGAGTGGGAGGCCACGAAGTAGAGATTGAAGACGGGTAAATTCGAGGATGAAGTCGGACATGTGGCTGGGCGGATGGGCTTGACGGGATAAGGATTCCAGGACTGTGTCCTAGGGAGGCAGTAGAGATGGAACTGCGCCTTTCCGAGCTCTAGCAGGAGATGCGTTTCATCTTCTACAGGTCGACAACGGCAATATTGTCGTATTGGTCACAGTAAAAGTCACTACTAATATCATTGGTCACACGAGTTATCACCTGGGTGGCTAGTCTATACGGTCTGGCTCTTCATTACTATCGTCAAGGTCGTGCCCAAAGGGAGTAATCGACTGCTGCGAAGGACTGTCGCATTGGGCCTCTGTTGTGCTGTGCGTATATAGCACTATGCTGGCATCTGGCTTACAATAAGCATTGCTGTAACCGGGCGTTGATCACGGCAGGGGCCTCGCTGAGTGGTGTTGCTGGTCATCAGGATCCCTACTCGCAGCTACGAAAAGTGGCTATTAGTACTGTTGTGATAACACTGAACTATGCAGCACTATTTGTGCCTCAACTCGAAGCCCGGCCCGTGCGTCTCAGTCGCGGCTAGCACCGGCGAGTGAAAGAAGAATACAGTGTCGATCTGCACAGTGAGGGCAGCCACGGGGGCAGTAGCAGCATGAGTGCAAGGAGATAGGAGAGACCATTACGGCCAAGATGCGGACAAAGAGGTTGTGCTTGCCGTATTGGGCGGTATGTTCGACCGCGCGGGATACTACTTTGTCTGTGTACCCAGTACGTTGCGGTCAAGGGGGGGGTACCGTTCCAACTGATGGGCAAGTCGAGTGGGTGTTGAGCAGAGGTGGGCACCGGGTGCCCACAGCCACACCCACCTGGCCCACCTGACCCATAAGGTGATGGGGTTGGGCTTGGGTCTGCCCATGCATTCTTGGGTGGGCGACGGGCGTGTGTAGCTACTGGGCATTTCTGGGTCACGGGCGGGTCTACTTTTGAGTTGGGTCACCCGTTGGGTGGGTGGCAGGTGGGTAAAGCGCCAGCCTGGGTCACCCGACCCACTGACCCAGGACCACCCGAAAAAATGTGCACCCCCCCCCGCCCCTCCTCTCCCCTTGGTGCCTTTCACATCCCCCCCCCTCCTCCACAGTGTGCCGCACTGGGAGAAAAGAAAACGCGGGCCTCGGTACAGTCGGTCACTGCCAGTCAGTAAAAGAGGAACGTCGGCCCTTCAAGGCCAAAAAAAAAAGGTGCTCTCCAATGCGGCTCCAGCGGTCCCGCCCCTCTCGCAGTTTCTTCTTAAAAAAAAGAGGGAGCGGATCTAGCCACAGTAGGCGGCTAGATCCGTCCCCTTCGGACTTGGAGTGCAGCCCTTACCGTTGCCGAACGGAGTGACGCAGGCGGGCAAGATAGGGTAGCCCCGTCGCGGCACTAGCGGAGTGTTCGAGGGGAGGGCGCATCGGGAGACACACACACACACACACACACACACACACACAGAGGCGACAAGGCTACGGCGACTGCAGAGAGAGAGAGGGGGAAAGAGAGAGAGAAAGGCGACAAGGCTACGGCGACTGCAACGAGAGAGAGAGAGAGAGAGAGAGAGAGAGAGAGAGAGAGAGAGAGAGAGAGAGAGAGAGGCATTGGTGGGAGGCGA